TCCTGAAGTATAAGCTAAAGGTAGATAGGAAAAACAACAAAAGCTACCCCAATACAAAAACATCTCAAAGATCCTACTATTTTTCCTCATCAGAGACAATACCCTCTAAGGCCTGAAGTTAAAAAATGATTATTGCCTAGAACTGACAATTTAAGGACACAAGGTTTACTTAAAGTAATAGCATGTGTAACATTCCAGTCTTGGGAGTTCAAAAGCCCAAAGGAGATTGGAGAGGACCTTCAATTGGTATATAAGGCAGTAGTACCAATCCACCTGGTGGTACCTAACCCCATACACTCTTTCTCAGATCCCAGAAGATGCCAGTTGGTTTTCAGTATTAGATTTAAAAGATGCCTTCTTTTGTATTCCTTTACATACAGATTCCCAGTTTCTTTTTGCTTTTGAAAGCCCTCATGACCAGACCCTTCAAGTGACTTGGATTGTGCTTTGTCAAGGGTTCAGAGACAGGCTTCGCCATTTTGGACAAGTAATTTCCCACAACTCAGCATGTTTTAAATTTCCCAGATCATGGTCTTGAAATATGTCGATGATATACTATTTTGTACCCCCCGAAAAGAGCTCTCTAGCCAAGGCACCCATGTTTTGCACCCATGTTTTCTAGTAGATAGAGGTTATAAGGTTTCTGGATCTAAGGCACAACTTTTGCAGCCTTGAGGTAAAATATTTGAGCCTTATCATATCTAAAGGAATCTGAAGGGTAGGAAAAGAGAGAATTAAATCAATACTTTCCTTCCTGCAACCCAAGACCCTAAAACAGCTAAGGGGATTCCTAGGAATTATTGGCTTTTGTTGCCTTTGGATAGCACGATATGGTGAGATTGCCTGATCTCTTTACCAACTTTACCAACAAAAGGCAGATATCCGTATTTTAACATGGGAACCTCATTCCCAAAATGCTGCCAAGTGACAAAAGTTTCAACAGCTGCAGTATCCTGACCATGCAAAGGTAGCATAAACAATCAGAAGCCTAAACAATCACTTCTAAATGGCCCAGCATCCTGAACCTGCATGTTGATCAAAGGCAGGGCATGGCTTTGGGAGTGCTTATGCAGGATCAAGGACCTGCTCAATAGCCCGTGGGGTATGTAAGTAATGAAGTAGACATTGTAGCATTGCTTTAGAGCTATATCTGTTGTAGCTCTCCTAGTACCAGAGGTATCCAAGCTGATTTCAGGCAACAATCTCATTGTATATATACCTCACAATGTGGGAGGACTTCTTTCTTCCAAAGGGAGCCTATGGCTATCAGACAATCAAGTTCTTAAAAAGTAGACTCTACTTCTAGAAGGACCAGCCATTCAAATAAGAACATGTTCCTCCTTAAACCTTGCCACCTTTCTATGAGAAAAGGAGGAAATTGAGACTAAAAGACATGACTGTAAACAGGTAATTCTCCATGCATACTCAGCCAGAGAAGAATTCTTAGACATAGCCCTTACTGATCCTGATTCGATCCTCTTCTATGGTGACAGTTCCTTCAGGGAAAGTGGGACAAGAAAGACAGAGTATGTAGTAGTGCTTCTACATCAGAAACTTAAAGATCTTCTCTTGCACCTGGGACTAGTGCTCAGCTAGCAGAGCTCAGCTCTGACCAGGGCTTTACAACTCAGTGAAGGACAATAAGTCAATATTTATACTAATTCAAAGTATGTCTTTCTAGTATTGCATGCACATGGAGCCATACAGAAAAAAAAAATTTATCTTACAGTCAGTGTATCTCCCATAAAATATCAGAAAGAGATAGATGAACTTTTATCATGTCTATGTTCCCTCCAAACTGGCAGTAATTCACTGTAGAAGACATCACAAAGGAACTGACAAAGTATCTCAGGGTAATCAACTGTCTGATGCAGCTAGAAAAGAAGCTGCTTGAGGGCTTCCCCTTCAGTCTCCCTGATCTGGGAAGGGCCTCTTAATAACACTTGACCCAAATATGCTCACTCAGAAATTGAGTGGGTTTTCTTCCATGGATGCCAGTTCCTTCCACGAGGATGGATACAATCAGCTGATGGTAAATTGTTCCTTCCTGCACTAATTAATGGAAAATTATTAAGTGCTTGAATCAAACCTTTCACTTATGAAGAGACATCTACCAGATGGCCTCAAAGTTATCATGGAAAAAGGACTCTTTCAGACAATACAATACACAGTTAAGACATGTGAGCTCTGCCGAAAGAATAATTTCTCTCAACTGAACCGTAGTCCCTCCAGGTATACAGAGATATGGTAAATACCCTGGAGAGGATTGGCAATACAAATTTACTCACATGTCAAAGGGTATTGGTCAGGGTAGACATTTTTGCAAACTAGATTGAGGCCTTTATTGCTGAACAGAAAAGACATAAGAGGTGGCAATGGTTTTGGTCTCAGAAATTATCCCCAGACTAAAAACTTACAGAATGATAATGGGCCTTCTTTTAAAGCAACAGTCACCCAAGATGTCAGGCACTGGGCATTCTCTATCACCTTCATTATTCCTGGAGGCCACAATCACCTGGCAAAGTAGAAAAAATGCATGAGACCCTAAAGAAACATCTTCACCAAATGGTTTAAGAAACTTAAGTAAGGCAGAGATTTAGTTCAGTGGCACTATGCTTGCATCACAAATGCCAGGTCCTGAGTTCAATTTCAAGTACCAGGAAAAAAAAGAAAGAAAGAAATTCACCTGAAATGGCCTCACTTACTACTGTTAGCTCTTCTCAAAATAAGAAACAAATCTCAAATTCTAGGCCTCTGTCCATTTGAAATGCTTCATGGACATACTTTTCTCACTTATGATTTTCTCTTCAATAGAAAAACAGATGCCTTACTGAAGGATGTCACCTCACTGGCTAAATTCCAACAGATTCTTCAACAGCTAATGGAAGCTCAACCTAAACAAAAGGAAAATCCTATATTCCACCCCAGAGACTTGGTATTGGCAGTGTGATAGCCAACCTGACTCCATTTGTGTGAAGTCAAGTGATTCTGGGTGCTCACCCCTTCCCCACACCTGGAAGTCCCCTCAGTTAATGCATAACAGACCAACCACTGCATCCTGTGTGAGTCAGCAGCTCCGTTATCTTTACTACCTTGTAAACAGAAGACTCCTGGCACTCATGTGATACTCTGTTTTAACCAAACCATGTGAAACTGCCCCTGACCCCTACTGACTTAGCAAAGTTCTGCTCTTGTGAAATTCTCACTTGCACTCCCACACTCCCAAACAGAAAAGTCCTTAAAAGAACACTGCAACTTCTTTGTCCAGAATTTTTGGAGGACTGAGCCTACTTTGGACCTCTGGCTGTGATAATAAAGGACTCCATTTAATTTAGAGTGTGCAGCATCTCAATAGTTCCAACTCCCCTGGCCCTATAACCGTAAAGTCTCTTCCATCGTCATCCCCTTCCCTAGGACCAATTTGGGAAGGACAGTACAACACGATCCTGTCGACTTCACCAGCTGTCAAGATAGCAGGCCTGAACTCCTGGATGTATCACACCCACCTCAAGCCCTGGGAACCAGAAACTGATGCTCAATGTGAACAGCTATTCAAATGCTCCTGTGAACCTGTAGAACACTTAAATTCCTCTTGAAAAGAAAAGCAATGTCTTCAGATAAGTAACCTAAGCTATAACTCTTAGCCATTTTACTTATTACTTTGCCACTTAAAGGAGAGTGCACTTCCTTCTAGTATGGGCACTGGAATATTCAGAGTTCTACAATAAACACCTTGCTGGATATGTGGCCTGCTCCCCTCCTCAAGTAAAACAGGACTTCCTTGGTGGGTAGCCCTGCTCCAAGGAGATGATTGAAATAAACTGCAAGACTATATTGATGAGACACAAAAACATTTAATGGTTCATAGTTTAGCTCAATATACAAGGTAACCAAGTGCCCTTCTGATCCTGGGCATAATCTAATGTTTTCTAAAAATTTCACTGAAGCCTCTCTACAGGCATAAGTAAAACCTCAATTAAGTAAGAGTGAAGGTCCTTTCGTATGAATATAGACTTTCATTCCCAGGGGAAAATACCTAGGTGCGAAATGTTAGCTCATATTATTGTTACTGGCTTAACTTAGAAATCAGTGATACATCTTTTGAAGTGGCTGGTTTCCTTTTGTTTGTTTCTTTGTCCATAGTCTGTCACTTTCCTTGATTAATGTGGTACAATAATCCTCAGTAATTTGATAGTGGGTAATGCAGCAAATGTCTGCTATCTTCAGAATGGTTTTTCAATTTTTAAAGTGTTTTTCTGTTAATGTAATAAAAGTAGATATTAATAAAGAAAATAGGGCTGGGGATTTAGCTCAGTGGTTCTGGTGACTGCCTCAAAAGTTTAAGGACTTGAGTTCGATCCCCCCCACAAAAAAAAAATTTAAAAAAGCAAAATATGCAAAGCACTCTTCTTACTTCTATGAAAAAAATAAAACAAAACTTCATAAGAAAGTCATTAGAGAATAACAATAGTTGATGAATACTGTGTCACAATCTGAAAAGAATGGCTCAAAGTTTAAGTCATAAATAATAAAAACTCTTACACTGAAAAAACAGATAGAAGCGCAAAACTTTCTCTTCAATGAAGCCGGGCATGGTGGCACATGCCTGTAATCCCAGCACTCTGGAGGCTGAGGCAGGAGGACAACTGTGAGTTTGAGACCAGCCTGGGCTACACAGTGAGTTCCAGGTCAGTCACAATTACATAGTGAGACCCTGTCTCAAAAAACCAAAACAACAAACAACAACAACAACAAAGAAAGTAAAAAAAAAAAAACCCAAAATGAAACAAATTAACATGTACATTAAAATATTTTTGAAACAATGAAGTAGATAATTTGGGAATGACCTAGACTTTGCCCTACTTCCTATTTATTTATCTTCTATTTTGCTCCCTATCTTTCTTTCATAAATATGTCACATATATCTATCATATATATATATATATGTATATATACACACATATACACATCTCATATATAGATGTGTGTATGAAGCCATGTAATATTTATGTTGTCTGACATTTTCACTCAACATTATGTTCTCGGTGGGTGTGAATCGGAGCCTGAAGATCTGTGATCAAAGCGTAGCGGCTGGAAGGTGTTGCTGCAGAGTGGAGATGCTGCGGAGCAGAGATGTTCCAGATCCAGGGCCTCGTGCCGAAGCTGTGCCCTGAGGAGACGAAAGGGAAGATGTGCAAGGATGTGCGAGGATGTGATTTCCTCCTAGGGAACTTCCTCATCTGTGTGGCCCTGCTGCGAGTCACTCCATTTATCTTGAAGGAATTGGACAGTATGTGAAGACTGGACAGCAGACGTGGACATATGATAGAAGAACCTGGTTATAGTTTCTTCTGCCTGCAAATGAATAGGCTCAGAGAGGTGTAAGACACTCTGTGTGGACATAAACATTGTACTTGTTGAGGGCTAGTTGAGCTCTGGTAACTGATCCTCATAGCTAAAATATAAAACTATTGGAAAGTATGAAAAGACGTCTTGTGGTCATAATGTGCCCTTATGCTGGTGATATTCAGTCTGTATGTAAACACTGATACCATTGTGAATAATGTCAAACTCCATTCTAGCAACTATAGTAAAAGATTTATCTCCGAAATGTCACTGCCTTGTCAGTCATTTCTGTTTACATTTTTACTTCTGTCCCAAGTATATTTGTGATGAGTCCCTTACAAATTGTTATGTTTAATGGGAGTTGGAACATAACTGCAGTAACATTTAGAGCAGGACTATTAGTCAATATTTTTAATAAAATACCAGAAAAAGAAGAATGAAGTTCTTGTCATGACAGCCAACAATCATAGACATAAAGATGGCTACTTCCAAATATGGGATAATCATATGTGATTATATATGGTTAACTCCAACTATATAGTAAAAAGGCCCGCAGTGTGTTGGATATGAAGACATAATTCTTATTCTCATTGGCCTATCTCGGCTAAATGTTTAGCATAGGCATGTAGGAAGCAATGTATACACACTATGAAATTACAGGTTGAAGGCTAGTTCCCAACACACTGGTTTAGTCACCCTGGAATTAGATGGGAAGCTCTAGATAGCCCTGTCCTGTGGAACCAATTTTTGACCTTCTGCAACCCGGGATGGATAGAGAGATGCATGCTGGGAGTTGTGTGGTTACAGGGCAGGAGCATCAAAAATATTGGCAAACCGACAAACTTGCCCCATCTACAACACTGATGGTCTAGACGTGTTTCACTGGTATGATCATTATTTATGTCTTTGTCCCTTCTCTAGAATTAGAAGATGTCATGCTGTTCACATATCAAGGCCTGAACTAACTATACTCAATGGGCCTTTAATGACACCTCAACTGGTCTGTCTGTCCTAAATGAAGGGAATTAAAGCTATACACCTACCTGAGACAAGAATGCTTGACACCTACGGAGGACCTTGAGATAGGCCCTCTGGAAAGTGTCTCTGGCTGCCGATCACCACCACAACCTCCTTCAGCCTAAAGTAGCCACAGTAGTCACTGCTCCTTGCCTTTCACAGGTTACCCCTTCAAAGTGGGTAAGTCAGACAAAAACATTACAGGCAGTCATATATGGCTAAGTCCTTGAAAGAGTCAGGACCAAAGCGAAATACATTACAACTGTGATGGAAGACGCATCTGTTGGAGACCAGGCCTCATGATAAAGACATAAAAACCAGACCTGTATACTTCCTCAAAAGATAAACACTAGTCCTAATGAAGTCACCCCAGTGAGGGACCAAACCTCTGGATCCATCATTTTCTAGAAGTCTTAGTTCTTTTCATACTCACTTGTTACGTGACTTGTTGTTCTACTAGATCACTACTGTCTAAGCAACTATACTTGTAGCTTTACTGGTTAATCACGCTGCAACCCACATTGTACCCACATAGGCTTTTCCCTTCCTTTAAACCTTGCCTGTAAACTGGGGTCCCCAGCTGCCCATTCAGGTCCCCTCCTGCTAACCTCCCAATAAATATGTTCCTATTCTTAACCTCTTAACCTTGTTCCTAGAATTCATTTTTCAATTTCTAGACATCTAACAGGTTGGGATATATAATATTTTCATATTTTATCTCCTGTATCAGTATAAATAAAATAATTTGGAGAATTATTTTAACTTTTCCTTATTTCCTATTTCTCTATCTTCTATTCTGACTTTCTCATATAAGAGAAAGCATGCAATATTTAATCTTGCATCTTACTTATTTCACTTAACACTATATTCTCAAGTTGCCACATTTACCTACAAATGCCTCATCTTTATGTTTCTTAAAACCGCACAGAAAATATATAGCTTAGTTATATATTCATTGAAGAGTTTCAGTAGCAACAGATACAAGGAGAATTAAACAAAGATCAACTCCAGAAAAATAAAAAGTTGTAAAGGAAAAGATTCATCATACACTACTGATTTAGCTTATTGGTGATAAATAATGCAAACAGTATTTATTTCACAAAACAAAAATAATAAGAGACCTTATTCCTCTTACCCAAGGACATGTACAGGTGTATTTGCTGAAGCAAGAATGGGTTTCTCACAGCCCACACTCAACTGCCTCTCCTCCCTTATGAACTACTGCATGGTGAGGAAATGTCTTGCCTGGGTGGACAACTCAGTCCAGCTGTATGAAAAAAGGATTTCCCCCAAGTTTGAGAATCAGATTATAAATCTGACCAGGGTCTACGTGACCAAAATCTGGGTCCTGGAGGTGCCTCCAGCATTGCTCACACTGTCTTACAGACAGCCTGCCCAGCCTGGAAGTGGCACAGGAGAAGCACGTGGGCTCCAGGATGTGCTATACACTGAAAAAGCTTCATTAACTACTCGCAGCAAGTCATCCAGCTCTGGGCCTCTGCTCTCTCACCTCAGCAGAGCCAGTGATGTTGGCTGCCCCACCTCACAAGACTGTGCAAAGCCACTGATGACAGCAGAAGGTGGTACTTGTTGAGCACTTACTACAATACCAGACTTAATGACCCCCATTTTGTTCTCACAGTGGCCCTGTAAGTTACACGTTATTGTTTTTCCTCATCCCACAAGTAAAAATAACTATAAAAATAACTACAATTAGTTTTCCCTGGAATTCATCCTCCAAACTTTATCAAGGAAAATTTACTAACAGTGCATAGGTCTCAGTAGTGATTGCCTGCACAAAATCTTTTCATTGCCTCTAATTCTAAACTGTTGTAATGTTTCCTCCTTCTCCAATTAATAGTAGGAGTTGAAGGGCTGGATCAGGGCTCAGTGGTGCCACCACCTGCCTCACAAGAGCAAGGTCCCAAGTTCAATCCTTGGTACCATTAAAAAAAAAAAAAAAGTAGGAGTTCCAGAAATACAGAAGAAGAAAGCAATTATTACTTAAAAATTCAAGAAAATTTTCCAAAGTTAGGTTTTCAGATTTAAAGAGCCTTCTGAGTGTTCGGCACAATAAATGAAATATCCACTAAATTATATTACTGGTACATTTTGGAGCAACAGGAACAATGCTAAAAGTTCCAGTATCAGAGTAAACAAAAAACAACTAGGAAAAAGTAATGCAAAGACAGAAGTGCTACCTTTGATGAATTAAGGAGACATCTAAGGTTCTGAACCATGAAATAAAAGAAAGGGCTGCTTCCACACAGGCTAACCAGAGACGGGAGCCCTGCCTCAAAGCACAGAGATGGTCAGCAGAGCACACCTTCTGAGGATGAGGACACACGGTGAATGACAACACAAAGTGAGCCTGTCAGTGTTAGAGAAACTGAGAACACAGGCACTGGTTTGGTTGGAAGAACAGGCAACAAGCTGTGCACAGTCATGCAAAGAAGCTACGTATGTTAGGAAAAGACAGCACATCGCAGTGAGGTCAGGGAGTCTGGGCTGCCTTTGAGTGCAGATCTAAAACTGAGGAAGAGAAAAAGGCAAACAGTTACACATCAGACAAAGAATCCAGCTGTGCTAGGGAACAGCCCTGACACCTTTCCACAGAGCCTCCTTTAGACATCCGGTTCACAAAACAAAATAAGAAAAAAACTAGCAAAGAAGTTTTGTAAAGCTATTGCTGTACTATTGAGAGAGGAAAGAAGGAACCACAAAAAAGAGATATGAATATGAAGCAACACATATGTTAAAGGCTTGATGAAGCCATCTACAAAATGTACAGGCATCACTTGGCATCGATGGGTAGTTAGTTCCAGGACTCCCCTCAGATACAAAAGGCTGCAGATGCTCAAGTCTTTTACATAAAAACCTCACTCTGGGGGGCCTGGGATGTAGCTTACTTGGCAAGCTCAAAGACCTGAATTCGATCTTCAGTACTGGCAAAAAACAAAAAAAATTAATTTTTGCATATGCACATTCTCACTCATACTTTAAGTCATCTCTAGACTACCTTGATATTAAATACAGTGCTTACATATCATAGGATATAAAGCCTATTGTACAAAGAATCAAATATATTGTTTTCTTAATTTTATTTTATTTTATTTTGGTACCAGGGATCAAATTCAAGACTTTGTGCTTGTAAGGCAGGCACGGTACCTCTGAGCTAAGTGAGTTGTCAATGAGCTCACTTCTCAAAGAAAGTTTTATAAAGCAAAGTCATAAGGTGGGTACAAAATCATGAAGTGGGTATAACACGGGTCAAAACTATGACCAACCAATAAGATTACAAGTACAGCCATTTAAGTAATAAAGCTTGTGGTGGGCCACCATGGGATGACCCCAGTGAGGTCCTGGACCCCCAGCAGGATTGTGAGACCAACCAGAAGCTCCTGAGTAGCTGTGGCTGAATGCCTCAAGGGAGAGATTAGAAAGGACCATGTTACTAAAACCTAGTCTCATGCTTTCAGAGTCAAAAGCTTCAATTTCTCTGGCTTGATGCTCTAGCAGGCTTAGTACTCATTCTGTGCATTCATTCTGTAAAGCCAATATCTCTTCTTCGATCTTTTGTTCTAAGAGTGCTTTGCGGAGGGAGACCCTCTGTTCAAGCTTCCGAAGCTCTCGATCATGTTGTGCCTCAGCTTGCATCTTTATTTTGATATGCATTCAATAGCTCCAATTCTTGCTGCAGCTGCATCTTCAAAACTTGGCACTCTGCTTCCTGTGCTTCATCCAAATGCAGAGCCTGTGTGGAGAGCCTTTCATTAAAGCTGTGATCATACTGCTCAGCCAGGATGGGTAACTTCCACGTCTGCTCCTCCTTGAGTCTTTTCAGAACAGCTTTGTGCTCACTCTCTGGTGTAGTCTCCAGTAGGTGATTTCTTAATGCTTTGTACTGCCTGGTTTGGATTTTGCAGGTTATCTTGAAACTGCTTTTTTATTTGGAGTTCTTTAGACTTCAAACTTTTAGGCTGTTGTAGAACTTCCATGACATGCTTTCGCCTTAGTTCTCATTCCCTT